AACTTGAATCCTACCTTTAGCGCTACAGCTGCATGTGTAAGTGTTGCCGGACCCTCCAGAAGTAAATGGGAGACGGTAGTGGCGACGGTCATCCTAATGACGCATTTCCGCCTTTGGGAAAATGCCTCCCCTAATTCCTGAATTAAAAGAAGAATTATTGCAAAATTTGTGCATTTATAGTTCACTTCTTCAAGAAGATTGGCAGAGAGGCGATTAATCAAACTCTTGCAAAACTAATACTTTAGGTTTGAGATGTGTTATTCGATATGCGCAACTGCGACTAATACAAATAATGTGCGCCGGTTATTAATCTGCGCTAAATTAAGGCATAGTACCAAGTTTTAATTATGCTTCGGCATGCGAGTGCGGGTTTTAATTACGCTGAATACACTACAACAGAATAGCGCATGAACATGTGATATAACTTGCTGAATGAGGAACGTATCCACGTGCTATGAGAAATTGAATTTGTGAAAAGTTTACCTTAAATGTGAATTGTTTGACGATGAGAATCGAGCAAATAAGCATGGCAGCTGTAGGAATGATTATTGCAACTGTAGTCTGGATCCAATAGTAAACTTTTTGTATCACTTCATAGACACTACTGCTTCGCATTATGAACAGGTGCATGCTTCGAACATACCAGCAGGACGAGTTATTCTAAAAAAAATTGCTGTAGACGAAATGTGACTGTGACAATCGCTCTCTCAGATGCTTTTTTGTATTTTATCCACAAATAGCATATGCTGCTACCCTGTTGCGGAATATGTGTAATGCACATCGCTGGGAGGCGAACAGTGGTGAACTTAGACAATCACCTAATTAAACATTCCTGCACGAATTGTTTACTTTGGCATCAATAATCAGCATAAGTCCTTTAATCAAGAAAGTTCATTTTATTCATGAAAAATGTTGAAATAATCTTTCAACAAACTTATTTGCATTTTTCTCAATATCATAATTTACTTGCCAGCAGGAATGTAGAAATGAATGGGGAACTTCTTGGACTCTAA